AGGAAGAAGGAGGTCCTGATTCCCCTATATAGATCTTTAGTTATCACTAGAGGGGTCACCAGCAGGAGGAAGGAGGTCCTGATTCCCCTATATAGATCTTTAGTTATCACTAGAGGGGTCACCAGCAGGAAGGAGGTCCTGATTCCCTTACATAGATCTTTAGTTATCACTGGAGGGGTCACCAGCAGGAGGAAGGAAGTCCTGATTCCCTTATATAGATCTATAGTTATCACTGGAGGGGTCACCAGCAGGAGGAAGGAGGTCCTGATTCCCTTATATAGATCTATAGTTATCACTGGAGGGGTCACCAGCAGGAGGAAGGAGGTCCTGATTCCCTTATATAGATCTATAGTTATCACTGGAGGGGTCACCAGCAGGAAGAAGGTCCTGATTCCTCTATAGATCTATAGTTATCACTGGAGGGGTCACCAGCAGGAGGAAGGAGGTCCTGATTCCTCTATAGTTATCACTGGAGGGGTCACCAGCAGGGAGGGAGGAGGTCCTGATTCCTCTATAGTTATCACTGGAGGGGTCACCAGCAGGGAGGGAGGAGGTCCTGATTCCTCTATAGTTATCACTGGAGGGGTCACCAGCAGGGAGGGAGGAGGGGTCCTGATTCCTCTATAGTTATCACTGGAGGGGTCATCAGCAGGAGGAAGGAGGTCCTGATTCCTCTATAGATCTATAGTTATCACTGGAGGGGTCACCAGCAGGGAGGGAGGAGGTCCTGATTCCCTTATATAGATCTATAGTTATCACTGGGGGGTCACCAGCAGGAGGAAGGAGGTCCTGATTCCTCTATAGATCTATAGTTATCACTGGAGGGGTCACCAGCAGGGAGGGAGGAGGTCCTGATTCCCTTATATAGATCTATAGTTATCACTAGAGGGGTCACCAGCAGGAGGAAGGAGGTCCTGATTCCTCTATAGATCTATAGTTATCACTGGAGGGGTCACCAGCAGGGAGGGAGGAGGTCCTGATTCCTCTATAGATCTATAGTTATCACTGGAGGGGTCACCAGCAGGGAGGGAGGAGGTCCTGATTCCCTTATATAGATCTATAGTTATCACTAGAGGGGTCACCAGCAGGAGGAAGGAGGTCCTGATTCCCTTTTATAGATGTATAGTTAGGTATCATTTAGAATACTGTGTCCAATTCTGGAGACCTCACTTACAAAAAGTTATTGATAAGACACAACAAGTCCAGAGATGGGTAACAAAATGGTGAAAGGTCTGGAGGAGAAAATGTATCAAGAATGACTTCATGAACTTAATATGTACAGTCTGGAGGAAAGAAGGGAAAGGGGAGACATGATTGAAACCTTTAAATACATCAAGGGGGTGGATAAGGTTCAGGAGGGCAGTATTTTCAACATGAAACCAAAATCAAGAACACGGGTACATGACCTCAAACTAACAGCAGGAAAGTTCAAAACTAATCTCAGAAAGTATTATTTTACTGAAAGAGTAGTTGATGCTTGGAATAAACTCCCAGCAGAGGTATTGAGCCAGTCAACAGCAAATAGCTTCAAACATGCTTGGGACAAGCATAGATCTATACTCAGACAAAAAAAAAAAAAAAAAATGGCAGACTGGATGGACCACTCGGTATTTTTCTGCTGTCACTTTTGTATATGACCATTGAAAGGTCACAAATATTATACTATAAAGAGAACTTCACATCCATGTACAGATTTTTTCCACACTACCTTTTTTGCCATGGTACCCTAAATAAACCTACCTCTCCACTGATTGTTTGCTGCAGTCCGGCACCACAGGCAGGATCCTGCACCACCATCTTCTCTTCCTACATCATTAGGAGCCAGCTGTGTCTATTGGGTTGTAGCAGCTAGCCGCCAATGATGGTGCATGCCCTCCAGCCACGGTGTGTCCCTGCTACTGCTTCCTCTTAGGACATGTGACATATCCCAGGAGGCAGTAAGATTTGGGACACATCAGTCTTGCCGAGGCAGGAAACCATGCAGACTAGAATAGTAGTGAATAATGTAAGTAAATACAAATAAAGGTTCTTTATAAATACAGTCTTTTCTTCAGAGTGAAGGACTAAGTACCAAAGCTAATGGATTGGCATGATAGCCAGGTAGCTAACCTTTTTAAGAAGGATCTCAGTTAAGTTTGTCCATGCACTTGTCTGATGGTAGGTGTACTTTAACACATAATGACTAAAAGCAAATAAGAATATTGTACGATTCGTGGATCACACGTGTACAGGGAAAGGGACCCCTTCTTATAAAGATCAGCTAAAAAAATGTATGTTTTGCTTTGGTATACTTCACCTGTCCAGGGGGAGATGGGACATTTCCCCATACAAAGACACAGACAGTAATATAAAACAGCAGATGGCTTTAACCATTACTGGACTACCCACATTTCTTTTTTATATGTTTATGTATTAGTGCAGGGTTTTTATGCTTCTTTTTGTGTCCCTGATGAGAATACTAACCTTCATTGATTCTCCTGGTAACTTTTATTAAAGGCACAGAAAGTGACTGGAAACCAAAATTTTATAGTTGTCACTGTAACAGGAGGGGAGTGGAAATCTTCCAATGAAGCACCTATTCCAAACACAAGTGTCTAAGAGCAGAGATTTCCTCTCACTTACGCATCTCTAAGACAGGAAGTAAAGGGAAATCTCCCCAGTGGGAGAGAAAAAATAAATGTATCAGGATTTTACACTTCTCTACTCTATCTAAAACTAAAAATGGAAACATTTGGCCACACGCAAACTTAAACCATTTGCTAAAATTTCACCATGTGGAAGGACTGACTTAAAAAATGTATAAAGTACAAAACAACATTTTCTCCAGCCCTTACTTTCTTATTTCAAGCCCAGCTCAGGGCAACTAAAAATTATCTGCTCCGCACTGCAAGGGTTAATGACTTTGTCGGGGGGGGGGGGGGGGGAGAAACAGTTTTTTACTTGATCCTGCGCTCCTCCTGGCAGATGGCACTACCCTGAGCTCCCCTGCACTCTGGCTGTGGATTTCCCTTCCCAGGGCTTTGGACTCTGCTTTGGTCTTGATGGCATTAGGACCATAAACTACTGGAGCATGAGGGTGCAGATGCTGCGAGGAATGGTCAAGCTGTGAGGAGGGGGAGAGGATCAGGTAAGTGGATTTGTTTTGTTCCCCTAGATCAGGGGGTCTCTAAACTTTCCAAAGCAAGGGCCAGTTTACTGTCCTATAGACTTTAGGGAGGCCAGACTGTGCCCAGTGGGAGTAAACAATGCCCGATCTTTGGTATTAGGGGGAGAAATTGTTGTCATTGGAAGGAATAGTGCCCCATTGTTGGTGCAGTGGTAGGAATTATGTCCCATTGTTATTGTCAGTGGCAGGAATAATGCCTCAATGGCTGAAAAAAAAGACAAGCAAAGGGCCGCATACGGTGACCACTGCTCTATATCAAAACAAGTCATTAACCCTTGCAGCGCAAGCACAGCCTGCCTTTTTACTTGCCAATGTTATGCTTTAAAGTGGTAGTAAACTGCAAAAACTAAAAAATCTTCTTCCTGCAAGTGAAGAGCATAAAGTACATACTAGCACATTATGAAAGACTTGCCTTAAAACGAAGCCCTCAAGCGGAGCGCCGGCACAGCTCCCTGGGGCTTCCATCTTCACCCAGTCTTCCTTCCAGGTTCACAGGCTGCAGCCATTTGACTGGCTGTGCCAAGATGAAGTTACTCCCGTGCATACGCGTGGGAGTATCAGACACAGCACGCTGTTCATTGAGAGTGCAGTGTGCATGTGCTGGTGACAGCACCGGTGCTGCTAAAATAAATATCTCCTAAACGGTGCACGTTTAGGAGATGTTTAATGTACCTACAGGTAAGGTCATTATAGGATTAAATGTAGGTATATAAAAAAAAAAAAACAAAAAAAACACAGGACTTTACTATCACTTTAACACGTGAAATTAACTGATGAAGGTGAATGTTAGAATATCAGGAACAAGACCTTGAGAAGACAAGAGCTTTTCAATGGAAATGGACTGATTTTGGATGGAGAAGGGGCTGTGGGACTGAGCAAGAAGGAGAATAGTGATTCAACAACCAGAGTTGAAATCAAGGCTCGGTCTCTGGAAGCTGAATTTGAAGTTTGGCTCCTGGAGGGGTAAGCACAGCAATGAACAACTTATCAATAGAAATAGACTGATTTTGGATACAGAAAGAGCTGTGGGGCTGAGCAAGGAGAATGGCGATTCAACAGCTGAAAGTAAGGCTTGGCCCTGGAAGCTGAAAGTGAAGTTTGGTTTCTGGAGGGTTATGCAAAGCAATCAGAAGCTTCTTAATGGAAATGGACATTTTTATTTTTTTATTTAAAGATGACAAACTCCTCCTAACAAGACACCTCAAGTGCAGTTGAGTGAGATAATTACAAATAAACATGACCACGTATCACAGTGTTGTCCCAGAGGTCACCGGCCTCTTGATGCAGTTACATGGACTTATGCTATAAAAACACATAACAGTAAGGAACAACATTTGTGTTAAAACTTTCAGGGCCTACAACTACCCCACGTTTGTTTTCCAATGCCTTGCCAGATATAAAAAATGAAAAGATTTACAGGGAGGGGGAGAAAAAGAAAAAAAAGGGGGGGGCGGGGGGAGGCCAGAAGCTGTAAATGCCTATCCAAGGAGGGGAATAGTGGGCCAGCAATAGCACTCTGGCATCTAGCCAGTTATGCAGAACTATGGGGCAATCCAGGACTGCTTGATGAGTGTCCAGGAGCAAGGGGACAGAGCAGCTCCTGATATGCAGGGACGCAAGAGAAAATAGTCCATAGATGCCATGTGTCACAAACCTTTTCCTCTCTGTGATATACAGTAAGGAGGCTATTTGGACCTATTTTAAAAAGAGATATCATGCTTATCTTTTAATCTTGGAGAGGATTTGGGAGAAAAGGAAGCACTAAAGAACTGTGATTAACTAGACTGTGGTGATTTGTATGGCTGCTCCTACCGCTCAAAAGGTGCTTTAGACTTTATCTGTATAAACTACTTACCAGAGTGCTGCACTGATACACCCACAAGCTATACTGCTCCTTGCTGGTATCTTTGGTCTTCAGAGCCAACAAGCTCTTTCCTGCCACTAGTCCATCATCATAGCACACCATGGACACAATGAGATAGAGGGGGTGCCTGTGTAACACGTCCTGAAAAGCAGCAATATAAAAACAATTATACACCTCCAAACATTATTTGGGAAGTACTGTTGTTGTAGAGGGAAAGTGGAGGTGTTCCATGTGACAACCAGACAGTAGTTATTTTCTAAACTGCACTGGAATTTAAATCAGTTGCCAACTAGATTTGACAGTTCCAGTGCTGTTTGTTCTGACAGGTCCTCTTCAGTCAAGCTTTAGCGGATTGTCAGGAGATACAGCATTGTAACATAATAGACTAGATGTTTTTGAACTGTCTGTATGCTCTAAACTACTCTTCATCTATTCCCAGTAGAAGACAGAAGTCTTGATCCTCCTCAGCTTTTTCCTCTTTCCACCATTTCACAATAGTCTCGTTCCCCATTTTTTCACTATTGTGCAGCAAGTTATACACAGTAATACATATATTCTAATGAAAAAATGCTCATGCTCCCTTACTGGGGTTTTCCTCTCGCTCTAGAACTTTTATATCTTTACTCCAACCAAAACCTTTTTTTTTCCCCCTCTTTTTGGACAGAGTGGACCCGACTAATAAATACATGTGTGATAGTAAGAGTACAGCTACACTCAATAGAGATCATATGTTTATTTGCTGATTACTACATACACACCTGGAGGGCTCCCATTTTACAGTATAATTACGAATGGTAGCAAACCAAATGTGACTGTAAATAATAAAAGACAATATAGTACAGATATGCTACTTACATACTGATCTGAGGTAGTTACCTGGAGGGCTCCCATTTTACAGTATAATAACTAATGGTGGCAAACCAAATGTGACTGTAAATAATAAAAGACAATACAGTACAGATATGCTACTTACATACTGATCTGAGGTAGTTACTTTAATACCATATTTTGAGACAACCAAGATGAAATCTTCATCCGGGGGTACAAAGGGAAGTTTTCCATCTTGCTACAAAGGATAATAAAAACATTATACAAGGATGCCTACAGATTTCCTTTCATAAATGAAGAAGGTAAGTAATGAATTCTTATTTTGACAAATATGCTATCGTTTTATGAACTATATAAAAAGATATTTTCGCTGTCAGTTTCAAAACAAAATTTTATTCGCAGAAACTTTTCATTTTCCCATATTGCTAACTTTGCACCTGCATCATTTCTGATGGATTACAAAAGAACTTCCCCCTCCCCAATCATCTCAATAACCCCCTCTTCTGCACAGGCAGAGAGTACTTGAGGTTTTAGGCTTCATGTACACGGGACACTTCTGAACGATGGAAACTGACTGCTGGAAAACGTACATTAAAAAAAAACGTCTGTTTAGCCAGGTTTGTATACCGTGTTTATGAGCGTTTGCGTTTAAAAGCGGTTTTTTAAGATAACTTCATGATGAGACCTTTCAAAATGCCCAGAATGCACTGAAAAAACAGTACAAAATTAACTATTTCAGACATTTTGAGAGAAATAGAGAGGGCAGAAGCAGAGAGAGCAGTATGTTGAAATTAGCAGTCTTTTTTTTTTTTTTTCTGTGGTGTTTGGATGTGTTCTAGCTCATTTCTGTGCAGCAATTATTGCAGCAGTGTCTTTTTTCATGCAAAACCTCAAAGTATGGTGTTCCAGGTCCATTTGAGTACCGGGAAAACACTTTGCATGCATTTTTCATGATGAAAAAAGGCTCTGGACAGCATCTGGAAATAGAAGAGTTAAAAAAATTTTCAAACGCAAACGCCTATAAATGCGGTTAGCTGCGTTTTGCGTTTGAAACGCTGATAAAATCTACTGCTGAACGCAAGTTTGCTACGGTCAAACAAATCAACTGTAAACGCAACTGCCTGTAAGCGACTGTAAATGAAGATGTGTACATGGACACATAGGAAAACATTAGGGTGAGTTCAGGGGCTGCTGAAAAAAAACACTGAACAGCTCCTAAACGTGAGTTTATCAGCTGCAGTGTACATGAGCCCTTACAGATTGCTGGCAACAGGTATTTTTGACGTGAAGTCAGAGAGATATCAAACTTCTAAAAAGATTTCCCTATACACCTTCTCTTTGTTAATACAGATGCTCTTTAAGTTTCATCACATCCTCACACATACCATCCTTTCTCTGGCACCTCATTTTTCTTGCTTTCTTTCCCCTTTGTTTCGTCAGTCCATTACCTGTGCAACATCAATGTAATTGATCAGATCCAAGGGCCCCTGTAGAGGTTTGTTCTCCTCAGGCTGTACTCTTTCAATGGATCCCACATACTTCACTCTGAACTCAGCACATGGATCAGAGTTACCGGAGGCTTGTCCTGTGGACAGCAGACAGGAAAGAGATGAAAGGTTGAAGGATCACTAATACGGCACTCAGTAATAATTCTCAGTTACTTCTACTGTGCGACGCTGTGTTGTCCTGCATGCTCTGCATTGCTTCTATTGTGCATTGTGGGTAACAGAACAACCTCTGCAGAGATAAGAGGAAGTACACTTCCTGTCGACCTGTTTTGTAAGATACGTAGACATTCACACAGCAAAGTTTGGGGTGAGAAGCAAAGCTTAGGCAGGAAAGGATTAAACATATATATCAAGACAGAGCAATACCAGCCTGAATTTCTCAGAACAGTGATCATTTACATTCATGACCAATACAATATGATCGGGTATACTGAACCTGATCCCTGTTCTCACAATCTAATACAGGGCTTGGCAAATTTACTTTGAATCTAAGAGCCAGCTAAATAAATTAGGAGCCGGGTTTTTAAAGGTGCGGCCAAACTTTACAATGGCAGGGGCCAAAGGGGTATTGTTAAATAAAACCCAGGCTTCGGGTATGGCTGGGGGTCCACTTTGGGAGGTAGAGGATTTGTGCTAGAAGGTGGGGTAGAATGAGGGACAGATATATACTGAATGGGGTGCTTTGAGAGAGGAGAGGACTTGTGCTAGAAGGCAAGTTGGGGGGTCAGATATGTATTAGGGGGGCAAGGGGAGAGAACTAGAAGGTGGGGCAGAGGAAGGGATTGGATAAGTGCTGGTAGTGGAGTGGACTTGTGCTAGAAGGTGGAGGGTGGATGGGGGGCTTTTGGGGCACTTTGGAAGGGAAGTAGACTTGTGCTGGGGCAGATACATACTTGGGAGGTATTTTGGGAGGGGACTAGACAAATATTGGGGTGCTTTGGGAGAGGAGAAGATTTGTGCTAGAAGGTGGGGTGGATATGTGCTTGGGGGAGGGGCAGTTTGGGAGGGGTACAGGATTGTTCTGGGGGTCAGGTACGTACTAGGGGACATTTAGGAAGGGAAGTGGACATGTGCTGGGGGAGTCAGATACATACTGGGAAGGTGCTTTGGGAGAGGACTAGAAGATGAGGCGGGGGGGGGGGGATTTCACATCCAATCCCCCCTCCAGCACAAGTTCTCTCCCCTCCCAATGCACCTCTTCAGAACATATCCTCTTAAACCCTTGTTATCTGCCCCCCTCTACCCCCCCCTTTCCAGTCCCTGCTCACTTCCCCATGCAAGAAGTCCACTGCAGACCTCCGATCAGCGTTGCACAAGTTGAATGTTGTTCCTCCTCCCTGGCTCCTCCTTCAGTCTGTGTACAGGAAAGCATCACAGCCGGGGAGGACAAGGAGGCGGCTTCAGTCCAATTGTATGCAATGTGGGTTTCATGGGCACTGGTTGCTTCTGCTTGTGCAGGTATATGTGATACCACATGTAAAGAAACAAACAGAGGGCGCACAGGCCTAGTGCATTACCTTTTAAAATGAATTTATTATGTAAAAGAAGTGGTAATATACTCACAAAAGATAAAAAGTCAAGGGCACATCATATAAAAGCACAGCAAGGTCCAATCTCACTGGATAGTAACTGCAATGGGACTCTTGGACCTCCAACTGGCTGACGCGTTTTCGAGGTCTTTCCTCTTCCTCAGAGCCAATGAGGAATGGTTAATGGCTCTGAGGAAGAGGCGAGACCTCAAAACGTGTCAGCCAGCTGGAGGTCCAAGAGTCCCATTGCGGTTACTATGCAGTAAGATTGGACCTTGCTGTACTTTATATGATGTGCCCTTGACTTTTTATCTTTTGTGAGTATATTACCACTCCTTTTACATAATCAATTCATTTTAAAAGGTAATGCACTAGGCCTGTGTGCCCTCTGTTTGTTTCTTTGCCTGCAGTACACTTGGATTTCCATGGTCCATTGAGGGCAGCAAGGTGTGCAGTTTCTAGGCATCCTACATGTGGTTCTAGCCTATATGGAGTCCATCTTCCAGCGCAGGAGTATATGCATATTCTACTTTTTTTCATATGTGATACCACACACCGCGATCCATTCTCTGTATTGTGCAGCAGACATCTCCCTGCCTGCTGTCTATAACAGTAACTTTGTGTGACAGGAAGCCGGCGGGGAGATGTAAGTTGCAATACAGAGACTGGATTGCGGTATAGAGTACCCCTTACAACCCGCACAAACTGCGGGGCAGAAGCAACCAGTGCCAATGCTAGCGTGCCACCACTGGACAAGTCACTCCACTCCGGGACTCAGCCTTGATTCAACGGGACTTACATCAAATTCCGGGATGAATGTGAGGTATGGGGCTGACAAAAGCCCAGGCGCCAGGATGCAGTTTCTAGTCACCATGGCGACCTGGATTTGTCAAGTCCGTATCTACTAAATCTACACACTGAAACTGGAGAGTACAAAATCTAGTGCAGCTGTGAATGGTAACCAATCAGCCTCTAACTTCAGCTTGTTCATTTAAGCTGTGACAATAAAACCTGGTTTCTGTGTAGAACTGCACCAAATTTTTCACTCTCCTGTTTTAGTAAATCAACTCCTACAAGGGACACACAATGACAGTTCATTAGGTAGTACATGTAGCATATAATTAATGAATTTTGATTTTGAAGTTCATATACAGGGGTTAGACCAAAAAAAAAAAAAAATGGAAACACTACATGATCTGCAGGTGTGAAAGTGACTACATGTTTCGCATTGAAAGCA